GTTTAAGCAGGGGGAGAGTTAGTGCGAGGAATTTTGTAATCAAATGGTTGGAAAAGCTGGCGGAGCAAAAGGCAGACGTTGGTGGTCAAAGACTAGGCACCTGCTACCGCCTGTTCTGAGACTCAGCTTTTTGGAGACTGAGTCACAGAACTATTGGACTGTGTAGTCACCTGCTCTTGAGGCTGCTCATCTGCAGCTGGAAGTGCAGAGCTTTTCATTTCCAGTTGCCTTCTGATTTCTCACTGCCTCCTCTTGGCAGAATCCAAGTGGGCCAACTGACTAAGGAGCCTTGGTAATGTTTGCACCTCTAGACCTGCAATACAGAGGAGAGTCTAGCAGGGAAAGGCAAAGGTGGGCAGGAGTGGTGGTGAAATCCAACAGTGAATTAACCAGCAGAGAGAGATCGGGTCTGGGTGTAGCCACTGATATCTGGTGTTTTCTGTCAGGTTTTAGACTCAGAAATTTGATTATTAGCACACTGAGATGTGACCAGACTTGGGTATCTGACTGAAACTAACTCTTGGAAATTTTTTTTTTTAACATTTATTCGTTTTTGAGAGATGGAGAGAGACAGAGTATGCGTGGGGGAGGGGCAGAGAGAGAGGGGAACACAGAGTCTCATGCAGGCTCCAGGCTCTGAGCTGTCAGCACAGAGCCCAACACAGAGCTCGAACTCACGAATCATGAGATAATGATCTGAGGTGGAGTCAGACGTCTAACCGACTGAGCCACTCAGGTGCCCCGAAACTAACTCATATAGACTGAACTGTTACCCCTGAAAATTCATGTTGAAGCCCTAACCACCAAAGTGACTTTATTTGGAGATAAGGCCTTTTAGGAGGTAATTAAGGTTAATGAAGTCTTCAGAGTAGAGGCTTCATCATATAGGATTGATGTCTTTATAAGAAAAAGAGAAGAAAGAGGCACAGAAGCATGTGTGCAAAAGAAAAGGTCACGTGAAGACACAGAAGGCGACTAATAGCAAGGTAATGAGAAATGTCTCACAAGAAACCCACACTGCCAGCACCTTGATCTCGAACTTCCAGTTTCCGGAACTGTGAGAAACTTTATGTCTATTGTTTAAGCCAATGAGTCTGATATTGTAATGGCAGCTCAATTCAACTCATATACTAAGCAGATATGTAAATGATGAACATAAAGAGTCAGAGGCTGATTTGCAAATTCATATTAAAAATGTAGCTTTCCACAAGATTGCCTCCTTATATTTGCTGGTCAGCACGTTATTCTTCTATAAGTAAAATTACTTGGGAATCAAATAAAGTTAGAAGATTGCTTTATGGCAGTGGTCTCTGAGCAAGGAAGTTTGTTGGATGATACAAGTGGCTGGTGTCGTATCAAAGTGGCTGGGATCTGACATACTCCTTTTCCCTCTAGACTTGCAGTCCTTGCTGGGTGTATCTCAGAGTGGGCACTCTCTCACCGACAGTCTGGAGATGAAGTGTGTCAGCCTTTCTGGCTTTTCCTTTGTGGACCCCTCCCCTTTTCATATTGATATATCCTATTTGCCATTTTGTTTTTGGAGTGCTCTTGCCTTGATCCTTTTGGATAACTTTAATTATAGAATCCTATAATTCTATGATTGCTTTATGGTATAATTTGTGAATTTTTAAGTTCTTGGGATGGGGGTAGTACATACATTTAGGATGGTAACCAGCCAGGACACTGTTACAGCTGTAGTCCTTGTTGCCATTGATTGTGCCTTCTGATTGGCCAGTCCCTGTGGTTTATCAGTTGCTAAGTGTTTTGAAGGACGATCTATGCCTATATAATTGGCACCATAAAGTATGAAAAAAAATTGATCAGGTTAAATCTTTCAGTCTTCCACATGGCAGATGAGCTGTTGAAGTACTATCGAAAAGACCTCTGTTTCCCAGCATGATCATCCCAACAGCCTGTTATGGAACATAGAATCCAGTTACTAGCATTGCTTGTGGAAGTTTAATTATATTTACCAGAAGAGATAATCAATATGTCTAATATTTAAATCTTACCTACTATGTGCTAGGTACTGGTAAAACTCTTTAAATGAATCATCTCATTAATCATCACAACAACACTGCAATGAAAGAGGTCATATTACTAATGCCATTTTATAGATGTGTCAGTTGAAGCCTATATAGATTAAATAGTTTGTTCAATGTTATCCTCTAGTAAGGAGTAATTAAACCTTAAGATTAACTGTTGTGTTTAGAACAAACAATTTACCTTGATTACAAGACCCTGTGTGATACAATTGTTGCTTACATCTTGGAACTTTTTTCACACATTGTCTTCCCGGCTTCCTTCATTCCTAAAAAACTGATCCTCTATTCTGGGGACACAGATCCTCTTTCCAGCTTTTTCCCAGTGAGAAGATTGGTCCCTCTCTCTCAAATGCTCTTTACCTGGATTTTTATATAGCTGGCTTCTATTTTTACCATTCTGCCTAAAATGTGCTCCCCTTCCACATGCTTGACACTCTGTAGTACCACCTACTGATGGTTATTTCCTCTGTAGCAGGTATCTATCATGGTTTGGAGCTGTTTGCTTATTTATTTCCTGTATCTTCCATGAAGTTCCACATAAGCAGGAACTAGTCTCCCTTACACATGGCTGTGCCACTAACACCTAAGTACTGGGTCCTTCCTACATTAAGCATTTAATAAATACATGTTAAATGCCAAAGGATTATCTATCATAATGTATCAAATGCCAGGGCTCTTTGGAATAAGACTTAGGATGGCAAGAAACATACAAAAAAATGACACAAGAAAATGACTTAGGAAGGTATGTTTTTGATGGAGGGAGAAATCTCAGGGTCTGAGTGGTGTCTGTAGCTGGATCCATCATTACAGAGAGTCTGCTGAGCTACCACTGGGGTGAGGTAGTGGTGGGAGTAGACGGGAGCTGCTGACCATAGAAAAGGCAAGCCCTCGGAACACATCTCACTTGGCTAATAGTTTTGCCTACAGTAATAGTACACAACCAACTTTGTTCTGGAAGATGCTACCAAGAGTTTATTTTTCACTACTAGCTGCTACCACATAGCAAATAATAAGAGCTTGCTATATTTGCACTACGGTAGGTGATGATGGTGATTAATAACGTAACTCCCTAAAGACCCCTATGGAACTTGGGAGAGAAAGAAGTCTTTGCCAAGTCGGGTGACCAGGAAAGTCATGTGAAGGAGATGGGTTGTGTGCCAGGCACTGGAGCAAGGCGAAAATTAGACCCAGTGGAGATGAAGGGTGTGATCTAAAGCGTGGTCTGGGGAATGTGCCCTATGTGTTCAGGGACCGTAAGAGACTAGTTGGCAGGAAGTAGACCTTGAACACGATGTTGAGAAATTTGCTTTTATATCCTGAATTCACAATGGACTTCCAGGAGTTTCTTTTTTAACTTGTATTTATTTATTTCGAAAGAGACAGTGACAGCATGAGTAGGGAAGGGGCAGAGAGACAGAGAGAGAGAGAGAGAGAGAGAGAGAGAGAGATTGAGAATGCCAAGCAGGCTCCACACTGCCTCCGCAGAGCCTGATGCAGGGATCAAACTTGTGAAACCATGAGATCACAATCAGGAGTCAGAGGCTTAACTGACTGAGCCACCCAGGCGCCCCCTAAGAGTTTCGGAGTGGACAAATAATGAATTGAAATTGGTTTTCCTGAAGTGAGAGGTGGTAGAGGGAGGAGAGAGCCTATCGCAGGGAAGGCAGTCCATCACTCTGCTACAACCGGCCATCATTTGGACATATGATGTCGGGGGCACAGCTGTCCCAGCCCTCCTCCTGGTGGGGGAAACAAGGAGAAGGAGACCACGTGCTGTGGGCTGTGAGGTCAAGTCTGGTACATCCTCATTAGATTTGGAGCAATTGAGAGAGCCGTGGAAAATATTTCTTTTCAATTTTATCAAGAGCTGATTAGTATGATATTTTATTAAGTTCAGCTTTTCTACAATAGCAGCACAATAGCTATGTGTTTTGTGTGAATTATTAGCAATTTCTGTACCTCCAAGTGTCTTCTGAATCATCAAAGACAAACTGTTTCAAGCTAGTATTTAAGGTTAACTAATTTTGAATGTAATCTGTGCATAATTATAACTTACATGTAAATTGTAGTTTATTGCCTTTAAATCATTTTACACATATCATATGATCACCAACATAAAAAAAAAAATCTTATTTTAAAAAGGTGGGTTTCAGAGAGGCTAAATGATTTGTCCTAGATACCTTGGTTAGCGGGTAGGAGAGCCTGGGCTAAAACCTATTTCTTTTACTTCATGCCATTTATATTTTCGTGAAAACTGGAAGCTGGTGCTTGATAAATACCATCTATTCTTACTAACCAGACTTATTCTAGAACTAGCAGCCACAGTGGAGTACCGGGATTAGCTATATCTGATATGGTAAAACTGCAGTGGGCATTCGGAATATTCATTGACCATAACATGTCCTCCGCCATCCATTTGGAATCCACGTGTCCCAGAGGGAATGCATCTTCTAATGTTCCCCCAGTATGTTTAAATGAAATGTTTTACGATGAAGTATTAACAATAATGTTCAGGTTTCAGTTTCTCCTCCTCGGGCCTTGAGCTCAGCAGCTCTGGGATATGGAGCCTGGTTTTGTCAGTTTGATCTCATGGGATTTGCAGACGGCATCTCTGTGCACAGTAACAGATTGCTTCTGGCTGATAGACGGAAGACGAGGGTGGAGCAAACGTGGCATGAAACGGATTGTTTGCTTTATTCCACAGTCTGCTGATTCAACCTGCAGACCCATTCCCCAGCTCCGTTAGCGAGACCTGTAAAAACACAGGGGCCTCCATAAAGACGACTCTGACATTTGCAACACGGAGAGGTCTGTTGAGTTGAGAGAGCCCAGTTCCGCACTTCTGATTTGGGTCTGGGTATTTTGGCTTCAACACTTGTTTCTGGTTAGAAAGCTAAAAACAAGGGTCTAAACACTGTTCACTCGGATGGTAAAACACATGCTCACTTTTTGCAGTGACCCTGGAAACAGAAGGGGAATTCTTATAAATCACAAAGGAAAATAAATAACTTCACCCATGGAGGGAAAGAGACAGCTTGAGAAAAGGGACTTTGGAAAAAGACTGTCTCTAGACAGTAGTCTTGTGGTAAGTACTAAATATTCATTTACCGCTCTATATGTTTTGGCTTAAAATGCATTATTCTTTGACTGTTATTTCCTGAACCCTGTGCTTTTGAAACCTCTATTCCAGTTACCCCATTAGCCATATCCCCTGGGATTTTGTTTCATTTAGTTTTTACAAAGTCAAAAGCCAGCAAATAATTGGAATGTTTGTATAGTGTCTTAATAGGCAAATGTCATAATCTGTCAACATTATATATAATTACATTAATTCCAGCTGAAGTAGACTTTAACCTATACAAAAACACTACTGTAAAGCTGATGCCAAATGCCAAGCCTATATATACTTGTTCCATCACCCATTTATCTTAATCTGGGGGATAAGTTGAACAAGAATTCAAGAGAGCTTCGACTATGGAAGAGCAAAGAGCCTCTCTCTAAGATCTTCTTAGGTGCGTACCATGGTTCAATCGTTTATGAGCTTTCTTTCCAACTCTGTTAATGCCGATAAGCGTCATTCTTAACAACCTGGTTGTGTTTGCCTTCGTGTATGAGAATCGGGTTCAGCCAAGGAAAGAGACAAAGTCCCTGATTTCAGAAGGTTGGCTGCTCTTTCACAGTGGTATGTCCCCTCCTGTTCCCTAATGCATATGAACAGAGTAAGAAATCAGACGAGTCACTCCTTTGTCTGTTGATCATCTACTGAAATAGAAATTTAGCTTAGCATCTTCTTTTGTATGTTGTGGAAGGATGTGCTTTAATCATTTGTGTGCTCCCAGCACCTGACCTGGAGTCTGGGTCTGAGTAGGTATCCAGTCAAATATTTGTTGACTTGATTGATGAGTAGCACTTTTCTGAATCTGCTACTGTGGGTCCTGCTCTGCCAGCCTATAGAGGAGCTAGTCACTCCATCGTGGCTGAGGCTTAACGTCACTGACTATTCCTAGATGCGAGTTTCCGGGAATGGGAGAAGGATTACATGACACTTTTGTGTCTACTTCCTCTCTTATTCTTAGAGTCAATTTCTGTGTCTCTGTGGGCTGTGTACCACTCAGCCTACATTCAGACGCTAAGAAATGTGGTAGTATTTTAGGTTCTCATCCAAATACTTGTGCCCTCTTCTCATCTCTTAAGTCTTTCTACCTCTGGGTAGAATGTGATGAAAATTGTGTGTGTGTGTGTGTGTGTTTATATATATATATATATATATATATATATATATATGTCTATTCCCTTGGGGATAGTTTCATGGGGGAACTTAAGATAAAAAGATAATTTCTGAGCCTCTCTTTGGCAAACAAAACACATTTTACCGATTAACCTGCCTACAGGGTCTGTCATATACCTAAGCAGAGGACAGAGATGCCCATATATTATGATATGAGCAGCACGGGAACGGTTCTCTTCACCCAAAAATACCCTTGCTGATTAGTCCCTAAAGCTTTCCGTCCCAGAGAATATGCAAAGATGCTATAAATGCAAGCAAGCATGCTAAGCTATTGTCTTTCAATAATTCATAGTAGCCCTCATTAATAAAAGGTCTTGGATTGTTCCCAAATGTCAAGCAGCTGAGCAACATTTTGTTGAGGGAATGGGTAAACAGAAGGATGCAGAGCACAGAGTGCTGGGTTGGGGCGATGAGGGACGAGGCCGTGAATTATCATGAGGGGATTGAGTACCTGCAAATCAGAGAAAGAGGAAACATCATTAATGAAATCATTGTCCACATTTAAATTTTGTTCAGGGACAGGCTTGACTGTGAGCACAAATCAAAGCCTGTCATAGTCCCGGTGCTAGCTGAAAGCCCAAAGCCAAGCTTGGCTTCGCCTTGGCATATGGTTCTACCCTGGGTTTTGTGGGCCTGAGGTTCCAAATTCTTATTTCCAGCATGAAAGCACACTGGAAAAATAAGAACGTGTTGCTTGGCACCACCTGAGAAATGTAATCCCCTTAAATCTCTTCAAATGATGCTTAGGAGAATTTTTACACTAGTGAGAGATCTCCCTTCTTTCCTAGAGGCAGATTGTGTGTCATGTCCGCATGTGGATAATTGGGAAAATTCTGAAAGAGTGTGCTTTCTAATGACTGTGTGGCCTGGGAGCCCTTAAATGCTACTCAACAGTATACAGTTTAGGCCATGTGACTATAAGTTTGCCTTCTGTTTGAGTGTTCTCTTTATTCCTCCCATAAGATACTGAGGCAGTGACAGCAAGAATACTTGTTTTGGGTTTGGTCTTCGAGAGTGAGACCCATTGGAAGTCCCCTGAGCAGATTCTATTGCAACCATCAGGAAGAGAGATAGATAGGGATGAGATCAAACTGACTGGCAGTAAAGGACTTGAACCCAAGACATTGTCCTCGTCTTTGGCTCCATGTTGAAACCACACCAATAATAAGGAAAGAAGCACAGGGTGATGATTCCAGATAAGGGTTGCTGGAAAATATAAGGGAAGAGGAGCACCTGGCATCCTATACTACCCTTCTTTCTCCAGGCAGGGTTACTTTATTTCACTTTATGTTATTATTTTTTTTAATCCTAGAATGCTAACTTGGGGCCAGGTTATCCATTCTCCTCCCTTGGCAGGAGAGGTTATTACTCAGTGAGGTTAAATATTCTTCTTGGGGTCCCACAATCAGCAGACAATGTGGGGTCTCATGCCCATCACTCCACTTCTGTGCATTTTATAGCATAAAATCCCAGTGAGAGAAGATGTCCCTTCGGAGAACTGAAGAGACGAAAGAGAAATAAACTAGATCTTAAGTCTTGAAATTCCACCACAGTAACCGTTATGACCTACATTTTTGAGAGTTAGAAGGCCCAGAGGTAATTTCCGTTTTCATATTTTGCAGGGAAAAAAATTCCTCATAATGTACTGCAAGAATAAGGTGCTATTAACTTCATTATACTTTTTATTTTACATAATCAAATCATGAAGTGTTGAGTAGAAGTTATAGCTCCCTTGCAACAGCTTTTAAATTTGTAGGCTGGAGGAAACACAGCATAAAGAAACCCACCGTCCAGATACCGGAAAAAGCCTTCAAGGTGGGGGGATGGTCCTTGGTGGTCCTTTAGTCATCATTTGGCTTTCAGGACAGGACACGGGAGGGTTTGAGTGTGTGTGGTTTCATGTGTGTCTGTGTGTACGCACCCGGGCAACGTTAAAGTGCTCTTTGATGTTGATTTTTTACTTGATAAATCACCCTTTTTTAAGAAGAAAGTGACAGGTAAGTGAAACTGAAATGAAAAATATGTTTCAAGGTGGGGGGTACATACCCTGAGAGAAAGACAAGTGACTGCAAGTTTGCCTTCACCAGTAGGAGTGTGCCGAGCGGCCGCGTGTTCACGGCAAGTACAGTCTTCTCTGCGATAACAATAAAAATCACCCCAGAAATCGAGCCCTCTTCTTGACCTAAAGCTGTTCAGCCCACCCCAGGATGCTTTTTGATCAGAAAATGTCAGCATTTCACACTGTGCCTTTTTACTTATAAGAACCATTCCCAGGCTGCCTGTACAGCTATTGAAACTTGTGGCTGTGATAGTATTTAGCTGATGAGAAGGCTGGGGAGTGAATTATCTGTTTTACTGGCTCACATATCAATAGCAAAAATTCTCCTTTAATTTGAGGAAAAATTACTTTTTGCTTTCAAGCACAGATGGCAGTAAGTTTCTTTTATGAATGGCAGATTCTTTCATGGTGCCCTGTTCCTTTTTTCCCCTATGAGAAGGAAGTGAAAACATTGGCCACACTAGCTCTTCAGCTCTGAAAGCAGTGCGGTTTTGATAAACTCCTAAGAGCACGAAGGCCCCACACGAAGTCCTTCAGTTCATCCTTTAGCTTCTCAACGGCTTGTATTAAAACCATTAGAGTAATTTGGCCTTCCACAGGCACATATTAAGTCAGCCAATGAGCATCACGGAAAACCCATTTTTAGTTAAGACTTTTTAGTAGCTATGGGATATGCTGGATAGTCACCATGTCCCCTCTAGACCTACTCCATCCTCTATCTGGCTGTGTGCCCCTGGGGGATATATCACACAGACCTTGTCAGTGGGCTCCTATGTCTTCTGCCATCTAGTTGGGTTTGGCCAATGCGGATACCTAGCAGGAGATAGGAGGTCAGAGGGAGAGGGAGGTCAAGATCATTGTTTTCCTGTACTGTCCTTGACTGGTCCTGGACCACAGTGACTGGACCACTCTGTCTAAGATCACAGCTTCTGCTGAGAAACCCTCTCCCACAAAACCACAGTTCTCTCTGTGCTCTGGCACCTTCCCTCTCACCATGTCCCTTCAGGCTTCTTGGTAGTAACAACTTTCAGATGTTTTCAGTCCATCTCATGTTGGTTTGCCTTGGGTCTGCTCATACTTTATTGCATAGGTCTTTCCCCCACATCTTCTCACTTAGATAATTTTTGTGTGTCATCATTTTCCTGCAGAACCCCCTGACTGATACAAGGCAATAGTTGATTTTTGGAAACCAAGCTAATAAGAAGAAAAAATGATAGTACATGGAGGAAGTAAACGGCGTGGCAGTGACCGTGAGAAGCACCAAGTTGAGGGAGGAATGTGTAAGGAACACCGTGAAAGAGCTGGAGTTAGAATGTGCACTGAGGCGATTTGAGAGTTTGCTTAGGTAGCACATGGACTACAACTAAAACAATGGGAAAAAATTGTTAGGTGAGCAGAGAAGAAAGGGGCAACCCAAGGATAGTGTCCCATACCCTCTCGTAACAACTCATTTCATTGCTGAGTTATTTTTTCCTAGTCAAATTGACGAGGCTCAAGGATGCCTAGATCCCTTGCAAAACATCACTTCTGGGTGTGTCTGTGAGAGTGTTTCCAGAAGGGCTTAGCATTTGCACCAGCAGATCCAGGAAAGAGGTTTGCCCTCGCCAGTGTCGGTGGACATCATCTGATCGACTGAAGACCTAAGTAGAATACAAAGGCAGTGAAGGTCAGACCTGCCCTTTGCATGAGCTGAGACATCCATCTTCTTCTGTCCTTGTAAACTGCCCCTCCTTCTTCTCAGGACTTTGGAGTCAGGCTGGGACTGGCACCATTGGCTCCCTTGGTTCTCAGGACTTCAGATTCAGACTGGGGCTACGGCACTGGGTGTCTTGGGTTACCAGCTTGTAGACCGAATATCATGGGGCTTCTCAGCCTCTATAATTACAAGCCCATCCCTTATAATAAATCTCCATGTATATGTATACTTATATTTACAGAGGGACAAACCCTGACAAATACACAAATGTAGATGTTTACTGTTTTATCTTCAGTTATTTTCGACCTGTTCAGTGACTGGGAGTAATTGTAAAGCAGGGTTCAGCAAGCTCTTTGAAAAGCCAGGTAGTGAATCTTTTTGGTTTTATAGGCCAGATGAGCAGCCGCAACTACTCAACTCTGCTCTTGGAACAGGGAGGCAGACACAGACAGTGCGTGAACAAATGGACGTGGCTTATATTCCAATACAACTTTATTTGCAAAGGCAACATCCTGGATTCTAAAGGATATCTGTACATGGTAGAGAAATAGCAAACTTGAAGATCCAGTTCACTTTTCCTGGGTGCTGTCTTTCTGAGTAATGGCTTGCTTTTACCCCCAGGATGCGCAATATGCTGAGGCAGGCAAAAGAATGGGTTTAGGATGTCAAACAAAGGTATATGTTCCCAAGTCCATGAATTTGAGCAAAGGTAACTATTTTGGAAAGCTCAAAACTCACTGAGACTTTTTCTAAATGCAGAAGAGGGGCATTGTTAGTGCTGCTCAGTGTAGCCCGTGGATTGTGAATAAGAACCACAGCTGCATTTTTGTAGTGCTTCTGGAATGCCTGTAGCTTTCTTGACTCTTGGTCCTATAGTTAGGCTACCTCTCACCATAAGCAATGCTATACAGAGCACAAACCACTAGGTTGCTAGAGTTTTCCAGCCATTGAAATCCCAGCTATCCTTTCCCCCTTCTACTAATGAAAGCCTGTATGAAATGTGGTTTACTTCATGCCTTTCACCACTGGGCTAAGATCAGCTTGCCCTCAAGGAAGCCTGACCTCTGGCTCTGATATCAAGATAGTTTGAAATTTCTCAAGTAAGCACCAAATGGAGGAAGGTCAGTAAATAAGAGGGAGGTTTTTATTCCCCAGCTACATTATCCCCCCAACAGGGCTGTTATCTTGGCTGTCTCCTGGGTGTCTCTAGAGGAACAAGACCATGCTCTGGATCCGGGTGTGGGGGAGAAGGTGTGGTTCTGAGGATCTACCCAAAGCACGTTTTGGGGAAGAAGCAATGGGTGGGGAACAGACTGGCTCTGGCCTGTGTTAGCTGCCTTTCCAAAATGCTGTGCTGAATCTTTGACTACTCCCCCTTGACAGCAGGTGATGGTGGAGTGAGAAAAGTGTCAAATGCTTAAATGAATACCTAGCGAATCTGCCGAACAGCCTAGCTGAGCCCATCATGGCAGGTCAAGAACATGCTGGAGGAATGTCCTGCCCAGCTGCCTCCAGCAGCACAGACTCCTGGAGGCTATGGATAGATTTGGTGCACATGGGTTGGGAAAAGACAGGGAGGCTTGTCCAGGTAGGCACAGCCCAAAATACCTGGCTGCTAAGGGTCTTAAATGGGCCCCAGATGAGCAGGAAAAGATCAGAACCCACCAAGAACAGTGCCTAGAGGGAGGCTGGAGATATGAGCAATACTGCTGCTGAAAATAATCTGAGTGGAAGGCAGGACAAAGGAGCAGAAATAGAATACACCCAAGCAGTGGACATCGAGTATGTCAGCAGTGTGGACTGGTAAAGTCTAGTGGGGTCCCTGGCTGGCTCAGTCGGTAGAACATGTGACTCGGGGTTATGCGTTCAACCCTCACATTGGGTGTAGAGATTACTTAAAGATTAAAAAAAAAAAAAACCTTTGTGCTTGCTTCAGCAACACATAGACTAAAAATTGGAATGATACAGGGAAAATTAGCATGGCCCTTGCACAAGGATGTTATGGTAAAGCCTACCATCCAAGCCACTTTAGCCGAGAGCTCAGCATGTTCAGTGAGCCCTGCACTGAGTGGGGACCAGGATGGCTCTCTGCCCTCAGTGATAATAGCTGAAATTTACTGAGGCTTATATGCACCAGGCACTCTGCTCAGTGCTTTAGATAGAAGTTGTCATTCAGGACTTAGATGACCCTTAATTATTCCTATGTTATGAATAAAGAATCTGAAACTGAACAAGTTAAGGAACTTCCTCAAGGCTATAGAACTGGTATGTGGTAGACGGGATTTCAACTCTGTTGTGGCTGCCTCCAGGTCATCCTGTCCCTCCATAGGTAGCAGCTGAGAAGCAGAAAACCTTGTATGCTGGTGACTGGGAGCTCCTTACATTGTGCTTCCAATTTTAAACAGCCCCAGCTTCAACAGGGCTAGAGGGTACAGGTCTATCAGCACATCTCCCATACCTGTGCCTGCTGATGACAGAGGCCAGATCTGATTTTAGTGGAATAGTTGTCAAATGATTCGAGGTTGGGAGGGAGAATACAAAGAATAAAGAATGCCTATGTTGGAACTCAGTCTAGGTCTGACTTCTGGTATTGTGCCTTTTCTGATTAACCAAATTTTGGAACCAGCTTCCATAGAGATTGACGTTTATGATTTTGTGTGTGTGTGTGTGTATGCATACACACATATATAATACACATACCCACATATATATAATACACATATATGTTATCTATATATAATATATTGTATCTATAACTTTGTGTTTTTACCCATGTGGGGATTCATGGTGATGTATACATGTACAAGATGGAGATATTGACTGGATTGGGAGTAGAGTACGGAGGAATGAATTACAAGATGCATCGAAAGTATAGTTGTCACCCAGAATGCAACAGGTTTTATAACTTGAGTGATGAGCCGATCAAGTGGCTACACATTCTTTTGGCTGAGCCACTGTCTGATGGGGGTGGGTAGAGTGCCAACATCATTTCCAATGAGGGAATTCCCCCCAAAATGCCATTTTTTGCTCGCCACTTGAAATTGATTCCCCCCTTGTCTGGGATTACTCAGAGGACTGACTCCCTTCAGTATGGTGATGGCTCACCCCAAATGGCTTCTCTTCCCTTCTTCTTCCTTCCTCTTGTCTTGAAAGTAATGCAGTCTGTTGCCATAACCCTATATTCCAAAGTTTTTGTTAAAATGCCCTTTCCTGAACTGCCATAATGTTTACCCCTGGTCTTTATCACTGTGTTTAACACTTGGTCACATGCCTCTCTATCATAAATTAGGGTTTCTCAGTTTATTTGATATTGTGGACCCTGTATTTCTGTGTTGTGAAGTTGAGGGTGTTCTGTGCATTGTAGGATGTGAAGCAGCACCCCTGGCTTCTATCCACTGGATGCCAATAGCACCCTCCCCTAGCTGTGACAACCGAAACTGTCCCCACATATTGCCCAATATCCCCTGGGAAGCAAAATCAGGCCTGACTGAGCTGAATTGTAAGGCCCTAGAGGACATGAGCCCTTTCATAGTCACATTTGGGTCCCTCAGATCTGACACATGAAAAACATGCAGTGCTATGGATAAATGAATCAATGACTCAATGAATGAGTGAACTCACCAGTTAGTGGCCATTTGTGAACTCACTAACACTATCAGGAGATACTGGGTATGGAGTAAGGAGGCACTACCAGGAGGAGGGAGGCACTGAGCGCTGGGTCAGAAGTTGGGGAGAGTGGATGACAACCTTTTCAGTTTGATCAAGGATGATTCCAGTGTGTGTATAAGGACTTTTGTTTTACATCAGAGATTTTTAACCCGATACCTGGATCCTCTTGAGTTCCAAGGTGCTTGATAAGGCAAATTTATGAGAGGGCTTCAGGGGTTTTGAATTCTCTGAAATACATTGTATTAAATTTTATATGTATGTGCATTTTTATAGGGAGGGGATCCATAACTATGATCATATTCTGAAAGGTATCTGTGACCCAAGAGTGATTAGGTAGCTTCCTCTGCCATTAGTCTAGTAAGCCTGGCCCGTAAGACCTGTCCACAGATGGCTTGCCTTGCCCAGGTCACAGAGCAGGATCTCAGAAGCACCTGGGTCCATCACCTGGTCTTGGCTGCTGCAGTGAGTCCCGTCTGCCTGCTGCAGACATAGATCTGTACATACCTGGGGTCTCCAAGATCATGTAAGCAAAATAGGAACTGGGAACATTTTGAAAGCCCTTTGTAAATGCTCTGTTATTGATAGATGATAAAATGATAATGTGTTGTAAGAAATAAGTACAAATGAGCAGAGACTTTTGCTTGGAGTGTTCTGTGCTTTCTTAGGGCTCAGAGATCTGCTTGTCATTCTCCTGGTGTCTCACCATCTTTGAACAATGGGAGTCATCAGATCATACAAGTTTCCATGGCAACTGAGGTTTCTGTATCCTCCTCTGGCAGCCTAAGATTGTTCCCATGACAGATTCTCTAGTGCTTTGTCCATAACAAGAGGTAGAGCTTTTATCAATCTCCTTAGATTCTGGTCTTCCAACCCAGTGGGCAGCTGGGTGTTCTCCCTGATAGATGCCTGCTTTCCTCTCTAGGGTTCCTGATTGATCAGCACTGGAATTGAGCACCTACGAAGGTCACTCAGCACTGTGAAGTGCTCTTTCTTAGCACTCACTTAGAAATGCGAAGATGATTTTCATTTTATGAAGCTTTACAAAATCTAGTCACATATACACAAATCATAGTAATACCAGGAGGTATACAGTGGTGCAAATAAGAGTGGTGCGATTTAGGGAAGAGTTTGCTCTTCTGGCTGTATTGATCAGAGAGGGCTTTCCCAAGAAGGAGAGCTTTATCTCCCTCCATGAAACTGGTCCAGATTTAATCTGTGGTGTCCTTGAGGACTGTGAAGCAGAAATTTGAGATAAACCATAGTGTCTTAAAAGAATAGAGTATGACTCAAAGGTGCCTGGCTTATACTTAAGGAATTGCCAAGACCCTAAGAAAGCTCTGTTGTGATCCTGAATTATCATCTTAATGTTCCTCTTGTCCCTCTTGCCAACACCCGCCCCCCCCCCATCCTCTTACCCACACTTCCTGGTACATCGCACAGCTAAATCATTTTCATTTCCTTTCTTCTCATTTATCAGTGTGTTATACCAACTGTACATATATATTAGCTGTATTCCAGCAGTCTGTCTCCCACTAATTTACCATCCTCTACTATAGTTCATTATTATCAATTAATATTTAGTAAGCATCCACAGGGTTCATCGCTGGGAATTAGGCAGCATTTTCATTACTTTCTGTTCCCTTGCCATGTTCTGTTGCCTTGGCTCAGCTTAGCCAGTATTTATGATCTTTCTGCCAGTTCTCTATTCATGTGACAGCCCTCATACTCATCCCCATTTCAATTAATATTTCAAGAGCAAAACCAGGAGTCATTGTATTAAAACGCTTCACTTAACACCAGATGCACTGCCTCAATGCTGTCCCTTTCATGTACTAATTTTGCAATTCTCGCCTAACACGGAATTCCATTTGTCTGGGCTGCTCTCTACAAGCCCAAACAGTGGTTCCTCTTGGTTCCTTTGCATTCCAGGCAGTTCCAGATGTTTCCTCCTCATAAATTTCAGTTCCTTAACTAGGCTTAATGGATCATAATTGTCCATTTCCGAAGATGCCTCTGAGGTTTGCTTGCCTTCTGTCTTTCAGCACCTTTCTAGTCCTTAGTCATAAGCAATTGTCTTCGGCCTGGTAGGTTTCCTAATACAATTAATTCATTGACTGCTCTCATGCACATAGAGGCATTGAGGGAAATAAAATCATCTGATAAACTCTGGGATCTATCTGTCAGAGCCAGCAGATAAGTAGGTTGGCCTTTTTGGGAGGAGGAGCTATTGTCAGAGGCCTGCTGTACCCGGGGATGGTCAGGCCGTGGAGGCTGCTTGCTTATGCTGTTATCTGGTGTAAGCGAGCACAAGGCTGAGTACAAAGTGTTTGAAGTTACCAGCCAGATGTGACTGGGATGTGGGTAGTGGTGTCATTGCCACCTCCTTTGTGTGGAGGAGTCCTAGCTAGGTGGCAGCAGTAGGTAGCTACTCTGAGATCTCCTGGGTCAAGTTTGGAGCTCTGCTGGTAGGCCCCTGAGGCAGAATATCGGACCTACTTCCTGTTTGGTGAGGTCTAGCAAAGAGGAAGAGAAGGTAGAAGAGAGCCAGCTCTAATGTGATCAGAATTTTTCATCCTCTTAGGAGGACCTAAGGAACTTTCCATAGTTTTGCCTACAAAGACTGCATCAACAATATTATTTCCTTTATTATGCATCAGTTGAGGTCCTGGGAGAAAACAGATGGCATGCTCAAGATAGTTTATTTATTTATTTTTTAAGTTAGTTTATCTTTTTTTTTTTTTTTTAAATTTGAGAGAGAGGGAGTGAGGGGGAGAGAGAGAGAGGGAGAGAGAATCCCAAGTAGGCTCCATGCTTTCAGCACAGAGCAAGATGTGGAGCGTGATCCCATGTACTGCTAGATCATGACCTGAGCCAAAATCAAGAGTCAGATGCTTAACCACCTAAGCCACTCAGATGCCTCTGGAGGACAGTTTAATAAAAGGCCTCTTACAAAGGTAGAGAAGGATGTGGGGAACTCAACAGGATAACAGGGCAAGGGAATGACATGGCCATACAACCACGTGGCCAGAAGGAGAGAGCCACTTGGTAGCAAGTAGGTAGGTAGCAAGTAGGTAGCCACTTGGTAGATGGAGGGATGCAGCTAACCAGTGTTGGCCCAGCAGGGTGGGGATCAAAGCAGGAAAACTCCCACCTCCCTTCCCACTCTCCAGGGCCCTCTGGGACCTCCCATTTGCTGAACCTACTTGGAAACCAGAGGGAAGGGGCCCACATAGCACCCCGGGGGACAGAGAAGGGTAGAGAAGGATGGAGAGTGGATGTTTAGGTGCCAGCAGAACCCAGTCAGCACATTTATCCTGTTAGAATCTATACCACACTTAGTCTAGAATGGGAAGAAAACACTA